ATACATGCCCATGAGGGCATCCCACGACTTTAAAAAGCCCCATACACAACTTGAAGTGCACCAATTAAATTTCATCCTCACCTTCTCTCTAGCAACTAGTGCCTCCAAAAATTCTCAATGTCTCCTCTTGTTTCACTCTTCCTCCTACACATAGTAACCGCGTCCGCCGCCCAACTCCACCCCGGTTATTACTTGGGAACTTGCCCAAAAGCCGAGGCCATAGTCCGAGATGTCATGAAGAAGGCTTTCACCAAAGATCCCCGGAGTCTTGCTTCAATCATGCGCTTCCAATTCCATGATTGCTTTGTTAATGTAAATAAAACTATATATACAAAGTAAAATTTTATATTTCCTTATAATCATTATTCTTTAACAGTAGCTTTGTTAATGCTTCATATTAGGGTTGTGACGCTTCTTTGTTACTTGATGACACACCAACCATGCTAGGAGAAAAACTCAGCCTCGCAAATATAAATTCATTAAGATCTTATGAAGTTATTGATGAAGCCAAGGCAACCTTGGAGAAGGCCTGTCCCGGAGTTGTTTCTTGCGCCGATGTCATAATCATGGCTTCTAGAGATGCTGTTGCCCTGGTATATTAAACTCTCTTATCAATATTACGTGGACTTATTTTGAGGCCAACGTTAATATTAACTTGTACGAACATTGTATTGAACCATATTCGATTGGACGAATACGTACACTCTATTATACACGTACTAGTCCAATTCAGATGATGTCGAATACAATGTATAAAAAAGAGTGTTATTTTAGTACTAACTTAATTTTTCCTTGATTAGACTGGAGGACCAGATTGGCAAGTGAAGTTAGGAAGATTGGATAGCTTGACAGCAAGCCAAGAAGCCTCAGATGATGTCATGCCAAGTCCAACATCCAATGCAACCTTCCTCATAGACCTCTTTGGCAAATTCAATCTCTCTGTCAAAGACCTTGTTGCCCTTTCGGGCTCACACTCCATTGGCAAAGCTCGGTGCTTCTCCGTCATGTCTCGGCTGT